TTTACCGCTGAAATAAGTTTATTGTAAAATCTGTAAAGAAAAAATGAATTTTCCAAATCATTTAATTCATATTTTATTTATTTATATACACTTTTAAAAAATACAAAGATTATAAAAATAGATGCTATTATTTTATTTAAAATCTTATACAATTACTATCAATCATTGAGTTAACAAAACTTACATAATCTCGTGTCTGTAACCAATCTTCTTTTTGATGACAATGTCATTCGATAATTATTTATGTTTGATCATTTGAAATAAATTTTCTATCTATTATATACATGATAATGGTCATTCATTGAGATTTACATGAATGAAAAAAAAGTTTTCTAGTACGTGTAATATAGTATCAAATATGAGCAACAACGTCATATTATTTTCCTTGCTAAAAAAATCATCAAAATTATGATTGTGGTGAACAAAGAAATAAAAAATTTGCAGCTAAAATAATATAAACTATTTGTATGAATAATACAGTAATTATAGCATAAGCATAAATATATCTACGTTTTTTTATTGTATCTAATTCTAATATAAATGTTGAAACGGTTGTTAGACATCCACAATAACCTTGTATAATACTAATAATTATTTGTTTAACTAGAGGAGATGTGATATTTACATATTGATTTATTGCTACCATGCCTAAATAAATATATGAACCAATAACGTTAGCTAATAATGTTCCAAGTGGAAAGTTTGAATTGATATTAAAAACAATTGATAATATATATCGAGTTAATGAACCAAATGGAGCAAATATGATGGAATAAATAAAGTATGTATAATGACTAACTGGTAAGAGAACAGCTAGAAGAACTAATAATGGAATACTTATAAAAATCAATATTGGAAAAAGCCAAATTTGTACAGATTTATTTAAATATTGAACTTTTTTTGTACTTTTTGATGATAATGAAAGAATAAATATACTTGCATGACGACCAATTATAAATCCAATAAATGATGCAGAAAAAACTGAAATTATCACAGATAAATAATTTGATATCGGATATGTTAAATGACTTGATGGACCAAATAATGCTACACAAGAATTATACATCACACCTGAAAATGTAGTAATGGAACCACATAAACCAGTTGTTAAACCAATGTATAATTGAGCGAAACTAAATATAAATTAAGAAAAAATAGAAAAGAGTTTAAAAAAATGTTGAATACATACTGTTGATGAATATGTATTTTTTGTTCAACAACAAAACCCATTATAAAACATCCAACAAAATTTGGCCAAAAAGCTGCACATAATGGTGCTTGATTATTTCCAAGAAAAGCTAGACCGAGACGAATTAATACACCAATATAAGAAAATACAATAATAGGCATTATTGAACTTAGACGATGTTGTTGTACGACAACTGGTTCAGTTTCTGCTATAGTTGCATTTCCTAAATTCTGCATATCTATTTCAGTATTCATTGTTTATTGTTTACTATAATAGAAATAGATAATTTTTTATTGCATACCATTCTCTTTTTTTTGTCTTTTAGAAAATAATTAAAATCAAAGCATTTGTTCTCATCAGTTTTTCAAGCGCGAAATCAGTCGATTTTGTAGAATCTCTAAATTGACTGCACAGTATTGGAGTTACATCGCTATTCCAACATTGTGTGATTACTTTAGGGGTATAAATACCGATCCACCGTGCTGGCAAGATCCGCCAGTGATTAGCTACACTAGATTTGTAATGAGTTTAAGAAAGAAAATAGAATTCCATAATATATCAATGATTTTTAATGAATATTAGTTGAATTATTATCTGTTTGAAATCTTAGTAATTTTTGACAATTTTACAATTTATTTATCGATTATTAATAGATCTACTTGAGTTGTCGAAAATAAGATTTTAAGAAGAAAATTTTTCTCGATTAGAGATAAATCATTTATTTTAGTTAGAGCTCCCATGTCACCATTTTTTTAACAACTGCGCCACAGTTGATATTAAAGAAATAGACTGCTTTCACTGCGACGCAGTGCCTGCTATAGTATTCACTGTTCTCGCAATTGCTGAAAAAATAGTCAATGATAAATAAATATCTTAATTTTTCAATTCTATGATTTTTAAACACGAATAATAGCGGCTAAATGGAATATAAAAGAATACATTTCAAGCATACGAGCTCATTTCTTTCGTTTTCTATTACCAAGACAGTTCATTTAGTCTCTCAAAGTATCGAGGTAAGTATCATGGGTACTTTAATAAAGTAGTTACAGAAGAGCTTTTTTAAAAAAGAAGCAATTTCTTATAAAGTTTAATCAAAGATTTTAGGGGTCGAGGAATCTGAATCTGAAGTCGGTTTTTCGAAATTTTGAGTTCGATTTTACCACAGAATTTTTTTTATAAAAAGATATTTTTTTCAACAGAAAAAATTTTTTGTAAGAAAAAAATAATTTCTTCCAATAAACAATTTTTTTTGTCAGATAATCAGTGTTTTCATAAAAAGAATTTTTACAAAAAAACTATCTGACAAAAATTTGTTTGATAAAAAAAATGTTTTTTTTTACAACAAAATTTTTTTCTGAATCATTTTGTTTCGTAAATTTATTTTTCTTGAAAAAATTATTTTTTCATAAAAAGAACTTTTTCTGTTAAAAAAACTATTCTTTTACAAAAAAATCGAACCCAAAATTCCAAAAAATCGATTTCAGATTCGGATTCCTCGACCCCTAAAATCCTTGATCAAATTTTATAAAAAAATTGTTCTTTTCTTAAAAAGGCTCTTCTTTTGTGAAAAAATCTCTACTTTAACTACTTTATTAAAGTATCCATGATACTTACCTTGATAATTTGAGAGACTAAATGAAGTGTCTTGGTAATAGAAAACGAAAGAAATGAGCTGGTATGCTTGAGATGTGTGTTTTTATATGTTTTATTTTTTAGATTTTTAGTTTTTTATTTTTAAAAACTTTTTTAACTTTTTAAAAATACTTTTATTAGCAATGTTTTTTAATGTTTCTAATTTTTTTATTTTTTGGGTTTTAAAAATTTTTTGTAATTCCTAATAAAAATATTAATAGAGTGAAAAGGTCGCTTATGTCGTCTTTTTTAGCACCTGCAATTTTTTATTGCAGTTACGCTTAATTGTGACATAGTTACACCGTAACTGCGATCGCACTGTGACTCGTAATTGCGAAAAACTGCGACAGAGTTACGCGTAATTACGATTCTTTTTATCACAGTCACGCGTAATTGCGTCGCATTTTGACCACAGTCGAACACATGGGAGTAGTTTAAAGTGTTGTCAAACAAATTAGACTGGATTAACAATTTAAATATATTGAAATACAGAATCATGAGAGTCTTATTTTGTTTCTTAATTTCATTGCAATTGTTAAACTGTGATTTTACGAATAAACTTTATCAATTTATTTTATCATGGAAATATTCTTGTTTCTACTAGTCATTTTTCTTTTATGTTCAGGAAATGACGCGTTTCTTTTCGAAGTTATATCAGCTATTTTTATGGCTCTTCTCGAGATCAACGACATCTTATAGACTAATTAATCTAATGGACAGGATACATCAAAGAGTGTGGATGCTGAGGTGTCGCTGATCATTAGAAGAATCTAAATGTAAAATAAAATTAAATAGAAAGAAAATTATCCATTAAAATATTTTCTCCCATTTTTATTTCCCTTCAAAAAAAAACAAATATAAGAATTAGATATTTTTCAACTAACCAATACTTATCGAGATCAAATGTAATTGGATATCGTCATCAAATAAACAACTTGATTTTTATTATTAAAAAAAGAGAAAATCGAAATATTTTTAGTATTAATATTTTATAATCTGTACCAAAAATCATTTAAACCTAAACTTTATCTTTTATATCAGATGATTAAATCAATTAATGAAATATCATCGAACAATCAAATGCATCGTTTCGTTTTACGTAATATATTCAAATCATACTAGAAAAAAAATTGTGCCATATTCAATAATGTAGTCAATAATATGCATTTAATGTTAATAGAAAAAAAAACACGATAATTCGTTTGTTGTTCGATTATCAATGTTATTAAAAATGCAAGTCTGTTTAAAAAAAGCAGTCGACTAATAACAATATTAAGAAAGTAATTAATGTTTTGTATAGTTGAATCATGATGAATTTAGTCGTATTATGAATTTAACGTCATATGAATGATGAAAATCAACACGACATTTTTTTGGAAATATAATCCATCAGATATTTTTCTGTTTTCAAAATTCATTCATATGATTTTACTATTCAAGAGGAAAACACCATTTCATTCATTCTATGCACGTGTATATCGATCTAATGATTGAAAATTCATTTAATGATGTTGATATTATTTGTGATGATATTTACAATGATGTGTACTCAATCACAATTTTATTAATCTAGTCAGATAGAAAAAATTATCAGCAGCAGGTCATTAAATTCATTTCATATTTATCTACGTTATTTTGATTTAAAACAAATTTGATCAAGAATATTTAAAGAAACAAAATTATTGTTTCGGTAAATTTATATATGCTAATAGATTAAACCGAATTAATTTTTATAGTGTTAAATACATCTAATAAAAACATTTTTAAGTGAGTTAATATGTGTTCAATCAAAGAAGTAATTTGGGCAAGAATAGTGATTTCATATTTATTTCGTTTGACTGGGGAAAATTGAAAATAATATTAAATGTATGTTGATTTAGTCTAAATTCAATATTTGAACAAAAAAGAAAGATCTAGACTAGTCTTTTGTTGTTGCTTATAATGCTAATATTGTTTTGTTTTTCGTATTAGATCTTATTAAATAAGTTCAGGATGAAATTATCTGAAACGAATCAATCTGACGTCATATGAAATCTGATATTTATTTATTACAATTTATCAAGATGATTTCATCATATCTTTGTCTATTTTTATAGATATTTCATTTGATGATGTAATAACATTAAAAATATTATATATATAAACAAATTTTTCTTTTTCCATTAAATTCTACTATAAAATGGCATATTCTAAAGATAATTCATTAAATTTTGATATTATCTCATGGGATATAATAAGTAATTATTTAAAAGAAAATATTGAAATAAAACGAAATAATCAAAATGATCATTGGTTACAATTACTTAATGAACGTGTTGCAAATTCACATCGAGAATTAGCACCTTCAACACCAGCTATTAATAATTATATGCAATGGATACGTTCAAGAAATAAAAATATTAAAGCTGGACCAAAAACAATACCATCATCTATTTTAGGTAATAAATCAATTTGAACTTTATCATTCATATTCTATATGCTATATAGGACCGAAGATTAACGAAGGTGAACTTATTGATGTTCGAATTTCTTGTCGAGGTCCAGATGATAAATTATATGATCGAGATGAACAATTACGACAACGTTTACCACGTGGATGTACTCTAATTCAATGTAAATTAAAAGATGAAGCACATCCACGTTTAGATTTTGGTCTTTTTGCATTGCGAAAATTTAGTGGTGGTCTTGGGTAAGAATTACCAAGAGAAATTTTTTATCATTTAAATACTAATAATATTTCCAAAAAAAAAAAGAAATTTTCAAAATTATAATCTGACAAAAAGTCTTTGTTTTTAAAGGCCTCTCCTTAACCTTCGAAAACTGAGTTTTCATCAAAAAATGCTTTTTGAGATAAACATATGAGTATAATGATGTCTAGAGCAATCAGTAAAATTTTGAGATATTCAATGACTGGAGTGTGTGTCTGAATCTTCTCTTTACTCAGACTCACATCTAGAGCCTGTCGGGTTCGAGTTGGAAAATTTTGAACCCGACAAGCTCTAGTCATCTGAGAAATGTATAGGATAAAGCCTATCGCGTCCAAAGTTTCGAATCCGAACCTGACTGGGTCCAAGTGCAAGACCAACCCGACGGGCTCTACTGACCGGACTAAAAAGACTGGATACTGGTATACCCTATATTTTTTCCTGAGCTTATTAGAAATAATTATTAAGCTTAAACCAGTCAATTTCTATAAAAAAATACATGAAAGCAATCGTCTTTCATCTTCAAAGTGCATATCCTTCAATCAATTGACTGACTACAGAGATGCAACCACTACCAGCTGGTCCATTAGTGGACCAACGTTTACTAATATACCGATCGGTTGTATGTATGATGAATAGAATTAAATTCAATTATTTTTTTTTATAGTGATGATGATGATCGAGAAGATGATAATCAAGCATGGCTTCGTTATTTTCTTGAACATCCTCGAACAGCATCTCAAATAATCTGTACAAGAAAGATTAATGGTAAAAAAATTTAAGTACTTGTTTTTTTTTGTTACATTATCATTTTATTAAAAACTAGGTGAAGCATGTCATTTATCATGTATATCTCTTCCCCCAGATAATCGTTTAATGTTAATTGCTGGTTCAAAAAATGTTCATTTATGTTTTCGTACACATTCGGATATATCAATGTATGGTAATGAATCAACATATAATTATGCAAGTTCGTTTTGTCATACAATTCTTGATACATTATCATGTATGCCTGATCAAGGTACAATGTTATTAAATTTTTTATCATTAACACGTTATACAGCTGTTTTTGAAATACTTAATTATTCTCATCAACATATTGTTAATTTATCTTATTTAAAAAATGAAAAGAATCGTTCACAATTAAAATTTATAACATTTTCACAAGTACCACAAGATTTTGAACAAGTTGTTACTAATCTATGTGCATTACCACCTGATTATGCTATTGAAATAGCTCGTTGTTTACATTTATCAACAACAGATTATGATATTATTGAAAATCAATCACATATTCTTAATGAATATTTAACATCAATCAAATATCGACATGAATGTGAAGGTTAGAAAATAGTAAAAAGAAAAAAAAAGAATTAATTTCAGATTTGTTTTCTTTTCTTTAGGTAGTGTTCTTTATTTTCTAAATAAAAATGATCAAGTTATTGGTTTATTAAAAAAGAAAACAATATGGTATGTTATACTTCGTGCTATACGTGAAAAAGCTCGTCCAATGATATCTGGATGGGAAAAAAATCATAAATTAGATTTATCTGAAACAATAGATAAAACTACTCGTCGTTTAAATGCTATACAAAAATGGTTAGGATTTTCAAATGAAATACTTAATCAATGGAAAATGTTAGCTGGACAATTTCTTAAATGGTTAGCAGAAGGAGCTAAAAAGAAACTAATTACAAGAATTGACATTAGCGATGAATATCCAATGCTTTGGTCAAAATTTCTTGGAGAAACTAATAATCCTGATGATTTTATGAAACAAATGGTTGATAAAAATGATGAAGAAGATGTTTGGAAACAATTAAATGAAATGAAAATTAATGAACAAAAACCGAAAAATGAAAATAAAATTAATCATGCAAGAAAAACAAAACAGCCAAGTGATTTAGAATATGAAGAAGATATTGATTTAGCTCTTCAAGATCTAGATGATGATAATAATAAGGATGATGATGATGAAGAAAACTAAATAGAACACTTCACTCCTTTTTATCAGAGAACAGCATACACTGATAATGGTTGGAGGAGAACAAAAAAAAAAGACATACATCGCATCTTTTGTATTGAATACCTGTTATATTTTTTGTTTTCTAACGTTGGTTTCGGATAACTAAATAAAAACAAAATAACTTGTTAATAAGTGCTATTTGATAAAATGTTTCAATAATACTAATATTCGTCTGGGACGTTCTAAATATATTGATTATTTTTTAACAACTAAATTGACACTCTTGAATTCATATGTTTAAATCGATATTAGAACTTTTACTTATTTTCTACATTTATGATTTTATCACTTCTTCCAACATCTATCTGTATATAAATGATGATAATAAATCTGATCAAATATAGTTCGATAGATTTTTTTTGTCAATATTCTTCTGTATTATTTTTCATAAAATAGAATTCATTGAATAAAATGATTTATTTTTAGTCAAATCAATGTAATTCAATGAGAGGAATCAAGCATAAACATGATCCCATTGTCAACGTTTCAATAACAAAATTGTAATATTTCATAATATAGTTTTCAATATAAACATCACACCTCTTTATTATGTCTAGATGATTAAAAAAATCTCATGAATATTTTATTATCTGAAAAGATTGATTTAGAATAGAGTTAAGACAAAGAAAAGCAAATCATTCACGCAAAATTAATTGAATTGTTCTTTAACGTATGACGTGCACACATAAATAACCATATTGATTTCTAGATAGACAATCAACATTCATCTCTCAATCTAAAACGATATATTTAAGGTGAAAGTGAATTTGATAACCTATCGATCGTCAATATATGCTGCAAAATCATATAAATATCCTTGATCTTGATAGTTTACTACGTAGTGATGATGTGAAACTGACTAAATGTCTTTTGAATAAAATTTTCTTTCGTTTATATTAGATTTATTTCATATACAGATGAAATCTCTTCGTAAACACCCCATATATTTGGATTTGAGTATCATTTACGTTACATAAAAATCATATTTCAAAAAAGAAAAACAAAATATTCTTTCTCGATGTATTTTCATACATCACGCTCGTTTTTTTTTCTTCAGAACTTTTTCATCAAGCACATAAACTATGAACGAGATCTAAGTCAGGATAATTAATCAAAAATGAAAATGATCCAATACCAATAGAAACTCTAAACAAGAATTATATTTCCTGACAAGCAAAGATCATTGATATTGTAATGTAATACCTAACAAAAACAACGGCGACATGTGACAAAAACTATTATTATAATTAGAAGATTATGATAGGGCGAATAACATTATCTAATAACGATTACAAAAGCACACGGCATGCTTGTCTTCTGTTCGTTATAATACTATACAAATGATTAATTGGATATTAATAGGTACATGTTAGAGATAGGAATGTCCCGAAGTCATCAAGACTCGAGGGGAGCAGACCCGTGTTACGAAGATTAATGAGCAAAAGAAAACGAAAAAAAATCGTTCAGTTTCGCCGGGGGAAAAAAACAAAAGTTTTTCAAGATTGAAGGATTATTCTCAGTTTCTTACATCGCTGGTTAGTAGTGATTGTCAAGTTGCGAGTCCGAATCCGAAAATTTTGAACCTGATGGATTCTAGTCGTTTGAGAAATGTGTCGGATGTGCTAGTCATTGAATAGAAAAAGCCGGAAAAAAGCATTGCGTGTCTTTGGGGCGACTATCCAATTCTGATAAGAAAATTTCATTGAGAAGATCAAAGTACGATTCAGATCTGAAAATTTCGGACCCAACTGGTTAGAGAGACACATACTTGCAACAATAATTACAATTGTCTACCTATACTTTTGACATAAAAAGAAAAAAAAAGTCGACAGTGATGTAACACGCCATCTTTAGATTTGTTCATAGTAATGAAAAAGTTGCATGTATTTCAGTAATCATTGATGAATAGTTTTCTTTTGGATTTTGAATTATTTTTTTTATAGAGAAAAGATCCTTGACTGCAATGTCATCATCTCTTATCTCCGGATATAGTATCTTCTATAAAGATAACTCTCTTCTGTTCGTTATCTTGAGAAAATAAAGTTATTATTAATTAGATAGTAACATAAGGATACCCGAAATAGATCATGTTTATTATAATAGTTGTTTATTACACAATATAATGTCTATTGGATTTATAGATGAAAATTTGGAATTTGTGGTTTTATTAATACTGATTACAAAAGAAAATACTTTTTTAAAAATTTAATTTCAATAAAAATATTCAACGTTTTCTTTTTTTTTCTAACTTATTATGATCTTTAATTTGAAGTGAAATATTTGATAAATGACAATCGAAAGACAAAAAGAAAACATTCTCTATTGGAAAATGGCAAAAATTAGTAGGATTTTTTTTTTATTGTATGAATAAAATACACAGGATTATCATTTATTTTTTTTTTGTTTACTATGTTTAATTCTTCCACTAAGAAGAGTTAGTAATATATTCGTCATTATCCTTGTCAAATCTAATAAGGAAAAAAACATCATGAAATAAATACGAGATCATTCATGGTGTCGTTCGATGGATTACATGTACTTTTTTTTTCTTGTTCTTTCATTACTAGTGGTTGAATCAACTTCATACAATTGCGAATCAACGATGGTACCGATAAACGCGAAGGAACGATTGAGAGACCAATGGTAGAAAATAACAGCATTCACAATCGAGAGCTTTTCACAGAACAGTAAAGTATGCCGGCAGTAAAAACATTTGTGTGGGTGGTAGTGACAGAGGAAAGAAAAAGGCGACAAAACAAAAATGTTTTAGAACCACAAAAAAAAACCTCTTACATCTTCATTATTTTTTATTATCTCTTGGTTCAAAGAAAAAATTTTTTTTTCAATTGAAAAAATTCTTTTAAATCTTGAATATTAGAAAATCAATTAAAAGATACGTTTATTTTAGATTGCACTGTATATCCATTGAATAGATATCATGTCATCGAATATTCCAGATTTTTATGAAGGAAAAAATATCTTAGTTTTTGGTTCAACAACATTTCCTGGTAAAGTTTTACTTGAAAAATTATTACGTTCATGCCCAAATATTGAAAAAATCTATTGTCCTATACATTCAATTAAAACAACTATTACTCATCATCTTTCACCAATAGATACATTTGCTGAAATCTATACAACAAAATTATTTGATCGTGTAAGACGTATTAATGCTAAATTTCAAGAAAAAATTATTCCATTTGATATTAATATATTAATATCATCAACAATAATGCCAAATAATGAAATAGATTTGAATGAACAAAAACAATCTGAATTAATTTCTTGGAAAAATTTACAGAATACTATTGATTTGTGTTTTTATATTGCAAATAATTCCGTAGATTTTGAAGAACAAAATCTTAAAGATATGATTCAAACAAATGTTATGGGTTTAAAAAGTGTTTTAACCTTTTTAAAAACATGTACACAATTAAAATCAATCGTTTACTTATCATCAATTTACGCGAATATAGGTAAATATTTCATAAATATACAGAATGGTTCATAAGTAGCTTTATGAAAAAAACAATTAAAATATCTTCACTGTGTTTCACTGTATGGAATTAATTTTTTTTTCCATAATAGAGAAGATTTCAGAGGTTTCTTTTTGACAAGAATAACATTTTTATATATTGCTTTGAAGTATCATCATTAACTTCAATAATGAATTTCTATTTTTTTACAGTGTAGAAGATGCTCCCAACATTCGATTGTATGTTTCATGATGCACTGCGTAATTGTTTTTTTTTCTCTCTCACTGCTGATATAAATATTTGTCTTTCTTAAGTACAATTAAGCGAAAGTAGTAGTTACTTTGGCTATCTCTGCTGGTGCTCGTTTTTATACAGATTTCGATATTTAAGACTCATGTTACGGCCTATATAGTCATTAAGTGCTTATGAGAGAAAACGTCAGAGTTTTCTCTATCACGGAATAAAAAATTAGCTCTATAGCAGAGATAGGATTGGTTCGCAGCA